TGATCTTCACAGCACTAAAGACAACAGTTCGACTTATCGTCAGTAAAAATTTGGAATTTTTTTATCAATTAACAAAAAAAATACGAGTTAAAGAGAGAGGTGTCAATTTTGTAGGCAGAAAACCGTGGTTTGTTCAACATTTTCATTAATAACTAAAAAATGGGATAACGAAACTAACCGAAATTTTAGCACACAATAGCATAATAGTGAGGCTATATATGACCCAAATTTCAAATTTTTTTGCTACTACTTTTCTTAATATCGGTTTCCAAACTCAGGGTTCTATTTCATTTATTTCGATAGTAGACATTTAGAATAAACTTAATGAAAATGAATAAGAACTGAGCACTTTGAATTGCTTACAAAATTACTTAAAAGTTCGTAAAAGGTACGCTTTGAAGGGTGGTGAATCCAGTGGCGTACACAGATTTTTTTTTCTAAGACAATAGCTAATGTGAATTATGAAAATTTTACTGCTAAAAACACTGATGTGACCTTGAATTTTGTATGAATGCGGCCCATTTTGCTTAAAAAATATAGTTCAACAAATTTAGATTTAAAAAAAAACATACAAAACCAACTTAACACAAAATTCCTAATAAAAAAAATGCTATTTTGCACACTTGCTGCTTTAATAACTATTCTAGTAAAAATGTAAGATGTAATTAAAATTCTTGACCAAACAACTTAACTAAAAAAAAAGCTGTTTTAAGTCTCCAGATGCTCGTTTTCGAGATACAGGATGTTAAAGAAATAATACAATTTACTTACATTGGTAAACGTAAATTGGTTTTTGTAATTTGATATAAAATTATTTCTGAAGTTAAAATATGGAAAAATATGTGAATGGAAGTGGAGGTTTGGAGTGAAATTATTGAGTACATTTTCACTCAATATTGTCCATTTTGATCATTTTACTCATTTGTGATTATATTTATACTAGAACTGCAGAATGCAGTGATTTAATTACAATAATTAAAGGCAACATATTAAGTCTCGATTAATAATTGGTTAAATATACGGATAGTTAAATTGTTATCTATAATTGGTATTTGTAACGTACATTATAGGTTATGGCAATCTATTCGTCCGATCAGGTCACCAATTCCTTTAATCGGGACCTAAAATATTGTCTCTAAAACAGATCTGTGGCAAACCATTGTGGCAGCTTAGTAATTTATAATTTTAATACAATGATATTTAAATTAAAATTTAAAGAGAATATAAACCAAGTCTGAGTAAAAAATGACTCAATAATAGTTCAATTTAAATCATATTGGAGAAAAAGTCAACTCTAAATTGGTTGTATATACTCAGAATAGAGTCAAAAGTCACTCAATTGAAGTTAGCAGTAATTCGGATTTGAGTAAAACTCACTCATTTCTGTTGCAATAGTTTCACTCAGTAGTACTCATACTAATAGAGTAAAAATTTCACTTAATCGTGTGTGGACAGAAATTGATACATTATTGAGTGAAATTTTTTTACTGTTTTTTTTTAATTTCCAGTTTTAAAGAAGCAATAAAATATTAGCGCCTATCAATTAAAAGTTTTAAGAACTAGGTATTCAATTTGTATCACCCCTCAGGTATTCACGAACTATAAAATCCAAAAAAATATATTTCGAGGTTAAATTACCGCACACTTTTGTGCGTTCGACTGTTTGTTGTCTGATTCCTTTGCAGATTCCAAAGTGGTAGCAAGGCGAACGCTGAAACGAACAGAAGTCTGGTATTAGCCGGCCACACCTTAACATTTTTACTTATCATGCTTTAATAAAGGAAAATGGCGCTTGAACTTGACCATAGCATAGAAAAATGAAAAGGTAGTAAATGTAGCCTTGCAAGAAATCACTCAGATCGGGCAGTTTTATAGATAGTCGCTTATAGTGTTATGTAAATTGAAACAGTTTGGAATTGGTATACACCAAGGGACTAAAGCGTGCCCATTGAATTCCGAAGATGATGATTTTTCGCTTTGATCTTGTGGTATACATGGTGCTTGCAAACTTAGAGAAGATTATTTGATGGTAGGCAGAATGCATTGATAATAATAAGCGTTTTTAACAATCAAATTCGTTGAAACTGCAAAATTGCTAAAACTTTTTGGGAACCTCTGGAATCGTCCCCGAGTTACATACTACATGAAAAGAGGTGAATAGTTGCGGCTGTAAATGGCGTGTCGTCCACTTTTTTGTCCCACTTTCTGTAGTAAACAGAAAAACTGGTAGTTTTTTGTTCACAGAAACAATGACTAATACTTGTCAACAGAGGCAGAGCTATGAGTGGAGTCAGTGGTTCCAAAAAAGTTTTCACCGTATCAGTATAGTAAGTCAGTGGATATTAATGAGTATTAGTTTACGTGCAAATATATTTTTTCCAATCCAGCTTTGGCACCACGATTTATATACTCTTCCAAGTTTGCTAATTCAAGTCGAGTTTTAAATATTTTTCAAATACTCTCATCTAATGAAGTCATATATGAACTTTAACCCATGTCAATACTAAAAAGTAATCCAAAGGTAAACTATTAGTGTAGTTCTAGGACACAACTACTCTGCGCACTAAAGCCCTGTCCAGCGTTGAATATCTAGTAAACATGTGTATATCTCTAATTTTCTAAAATATTATGACAAGGGATTAAGTGCATTTTTAATCCCGATGTATTAAGGATACACTTTAGTATGACATGATATGCTCTCCACAGCATGAAATAACAAAAATCAATTAAAACGTCAACTTTGCTACCTTCAATTGGAGGCAGAATCCAAGAAGTGCAAAAAGTAGATGAAATAACTGTATTAATTATTTAAGTGAGAATTTCTATAAATATTCTATACGCAGTACAGACCTCTTTAAAATTTACTGGACAGCTGTTTATGGTATCGTTATCCGGAATACTGCAACCAAGCACCCATTTATTACAATTAATCTACACATTTTGCTGGTTTTGCATTGTCGATAAACACTTATTTTTTACTTAAGATCTACAGTTTTGTACGTTCAGCAAATGGGTAAGTATTTTTTCAGTAAAAGTGCAATCTTCGTCAATATAGCCAGAAAATATGATTGAGATTCATATGAATTATTATTTGTTTTACGCAAAATATGTTTTTCGTTCACTTATTGGCAAGCATACAGCCTTATTTTATGTGTTTTCTAACTTTTTATAGTTCTATGTCACACTGAACAATGTAATAAATGGGACTGAGATATGGTGATCTTACTGGCAATTAAGCTTTTGTAAATCAAGGAATTTTTTATTGAACGAAAAAGAATTCAAAGTTCATTCCTTCAATCCAGGTCCTATTATTATTTCTATTTTACACAGAAGAAACCGTGTTGCTCATATTTTTGCTCTAATTGATATAATTAATGTATATTTCGTGCATGTTTACAACATTAAGTCATTGTTAAACAACTGATTATATTTATATTTTTTGCTCTTCAAGGTTATAGGAAATACTCTCGATTTGTTATTCTGCAATCTATTAAATAATTATGATCTCAGTTTTTAAATCATGACTGAAAATAGTTCAATCAATACTATACAAAGAAGCAGCAGTATTTCGATGTTAGTTGTAGTGGTAGACTTGTCTCTTAATTTCATTGCGGATCACTATTGTAGCTGTGCATTAGAATTTTTCATCTAAAGAAGGTATACCTTTCCATAAAGGCTTAAAAAAATTAAATAATCTACGTTCAAAAACGATTTAATCAAGATCTTCCCAGAGCTACTATGTTATAATGTGAATTACTATTTCAGCAGATATATTCAAAAACAATACTCTCTCTCGTATACAGAGGAGTCAAAGGTGGACACAGAAGTGAGAGCAGGGGTATATGGGGTTCAAGAAAGGGTAGAGATCTCCCTTGTACAGAAATGAATGAAACAGTTGGGTATAGGGTTAGGTAATTAGTTCATACCAGATCAGATCTGGTTTCGGGTTGTTTGGATTTGGATGATATAGTAACTCTAGTAGGTTGAAATTATAGGGCTCTAGTAACTAAAAACTGACGAGTTAGCTACAGTAGGTCATGATATTGCCAATTACTTTATCAAGACACTATTTCCGGGATTGGCAAGGGATAAGATCCAAAAATTATGACAAGATGGCGGACTTATTGAACTAAAATCACAAATCAAGGGTAACAGTGGGAAAATAGTTCAACCAACACTATACAAAAAAGTATTTCGATGTTAGCTGTAGTGGCAGACTTGTTTCTGGCAGATTTTGAACTTTAATTTCATTGCAGATCGCTACTGTAGCTTTGCATTAGAGCTTTTCATCTAAAGAAGGTATAGCTCCAAAAAATTAAATAATTTGCGTTAAAAAACGATTTGATCAAGAGCTACTATGTCATAATGTGAATTACTATTTCAGCAGATATATTCAAAAACAATACTCTCTCTTGTATACAGAGGAGTTAAAGGTGGACACAGAAGTCAGAGTAAGGATATATGGGGTTCAAGAAAGGGTTGAAGTCTCCCTTGCATAGAAATGAATGAAACAGTAGGGCATTAAAGGTAATTAATTCATCCAAATCAGATCTGGTTTGGGTTTGTTTGGATTTAGATGATATAGTAACTCTAGTAGGTTGAAATTATATGGCTCTAGTAACTATAAACTGTCACGATATTGCTAACTACTTTATCAAGACACTATTTCCGGGATTGGCGAGGGATAAGATCCAAAAATTATGACAAGATGCCGGACTTATTCTACTAAAATCACAGATCAAGGGTAACAGTAGGATTATTAACTGGATATAGCAAACTGGGGATATATGTGGATAATATCGGCTTGGTAGAAGCCTGCTTCTGCTATGAGGAAGAGGATCTAGTGTTCGGAAGAGCAAAACCTCCACATATCTAAAAGCTATAGGAACAAACCACTATAAAATTAGTTGAGTATGAGATCATGAAGGTCCACAGTAAAATCAAGACACGAAACATTTCTTTACACACCCAAGGATTTTAAAAACATTTGAAAGACTTACCAGTGGCAAACGCAGCCATCGGAAGTTGCCTCGATATGCTCTCCGCCACTTCCGACGTCAAACCGTAGATCCCCAGCAGCTCCCTCATGGTGTTCATAGCGTACTGCCTCATCTCGCTCACTTGATCCTGACTCAGATTCTGAGGCGCCTGCGAAAAGTCCGAAACGTGCGGCTTGGACAGGTTGTGAATAGAGAAACTCTGCGGGATCTTCGAGTCATTCTCGCTGTTGCTGTTCTCGTTGTCATTGTCGTCGTTCTCCGAGTTGGCAAAGTTCTCGTTGAACTCCGAGTCGCTATTGGAGTCGCTCTCGTTGTTCTTGCTCAGGTCCATGGGACTGAATCTGGGATCCACTACGACCTTCCTCGTGGACAACGTCTTCCTCCGCCGCACGTTGTTGTTGACGTTGTTGTTCTCGCTGTACTCGCTCAAATTCAACGCCTCGCTGTTGTAGGCGTACTCGTTGTCCGAGTAGGCGACGTTCGAACACCGGGGCTTGAAGTTCTTGCGTTTGTTCCGTTTCGGCAGTTCGCTCTTCGGAGACGCCACGTAGTTGTCCTGGTCCGAGTCGCTCGAGTTCACGTTTGAATCGAAGGGTTCCGAGGCGTGGTAGCGGGAGTAGTCGTCGACGTTTTCCGTCGCCATTTTGATAGCATCTGAAACAGAAGAGGGCGCTGTTAGAACCAAGAGAAACTAGTTGGCTATGTCTAATCTATTTTGGTTTGGTTCACTCTCCCCTAAAGAGAAGTACTATACTGTTATTGGTATTATAATCGACATTGTACGGTTTCTAGAAGATCGTGGATTTTACTTGCGCGGACAGTCAATATCGTTAAGTATGTTTAAAAAATAATGAAAGGGTAAACACGGAGCTGCCGATAACGGTCTTGAACGTACGCTTTTAGTATTTTAATTCAGTTTAAACAATTTTACGCAACGGATTTGTTTACAAAATTAAAATGTCCATGATTTACCGTATGCGGATATAATTACTGTATAAATATTTTAGAAAATAGCAGGTAATTTCTAGTAAAACAACATTTGGTTAACGCTTACATCTAGAAGGCATAATTTACGCTAGTACCTGAATTTCGTTAAAATTATAAGCAAACAATAACAGTACCGAGCTAAAAATATCTGAACTTTAGGAGTATTTCGTGAAAATATTTCATAATATTTGCTTTTATATAGGTATCTGTCGGTATTTACTTTAAAGTGATATAATCTGAATATATTACTCTTAATTTGAATACCTGTATTAATTTTTAAAGGTTTCCTTACAAAAATAGGTACATAGGTTATTTTCCTTAGATAGATTTAGTTGAAAATATTGGTAAAAATATATATAATTGATAAACTTATGATGAAACATGTTAATAATACAATGATATATGTCATTTGTTCGTAATTCAATTTTACTTAAAATGTGTCTCAATTTTACATTCACAAAAATATAAAGGTAAGAAGGAAAATAAATTATAATATTTATTTCCCTATTTTAGCCTATTCAAAATTAAAGACATCTTGCAAATATTATTTTTGTATGATTCAGAGACAAAGACATAGAAAAATACAAACTGTACTATTGTTTCGTATTTGAAATTATCACAAAATAGCATAAAGGTGGTGTGCAACATACATAAAAAAATTAATAGTGTTTGCAGAAACATTGAAGAAAAAACTACCCATGCTAATAAACACAAGAAGTATCTTACTTTTACCCAATTTTTTCTCTCTTTTTTACAAAGGCGCTGTGGTTTTTTGAAAAAAAAGTCTAACTCAACTTCAAAAGGGCGTAGGATCATTATTTTTTTAATAGTATGTTTTTCACACTTTTTATAATTAAATATTATGCATGGTTTTGGAGATAATCTAAATGTTTATAAAAAAGTGGTAATAAAAGACCATTTTTTAATGTAAAAATCAAAAGGACCCCTGGCAATAAATCAAAATTCCATTTAAATACAAAGCTAAGTTAGGTTTTAAGCTTTAAAAATCGACTTTCTAAACCCTTTTTTGCTAATAACTTTCGAAGAGACAAAAGGTTAATGTTATGCAAGTAAATAGAATTTTGCACAGTTTTGAATAACAATAAAACTCACAACTTTCAGGCATATTTATAAAATTTCAACAAATAACCACCAATTTATGGATAATTAAAAAAATGCTGTTTTCCACGTTTTTTTTGATGTTTTGTTGCAATAACTTTTAAAAAATTTATCCGATTTTAATCTATTATCTTTTTATTGCGCGTATTTCGTCTGTTGAACACTTTTCTCTAAAATCAATAGTTTTTCCAATATATTGAAAAAACTGATTTTCGACCCAAATTGTTAAAAAAACAATGTTGCTAATGAAAAAAATTGACTCACGAGATGAGACACCTTTTCTACTGCCTTGCCTTGCACATTTCAACAATAAAATAGCGGATGTCAATTCATCGATTTTTTAAGTTTATTTACTGCTATAGCGACGAGTTTTATCAATTTTTCAGAAAATTCGGAAGTTTGAGCCATCTCTGTATCAGGCCGAGAACTTTTCCAACGCCTCTCGTATGTATAAGATCTCATAAATGTATCTGTAGGATCACTTTTTAATAATTTATGGTTTTCCCTATTACGCAATTATAAACAAATTAAGATCAGCGAAATAACAATTACTTTATTAGAATTTTTTCCAGAAAAATCGTTTTTTTCGCCATGGGAATTACAAAATTTTTATTTGTTCTTCGAATATATGGCAACAATTCAAGAAAAAAATCGAGTCTCAGAAGTAATTATTCAAATATTATATTAAAACTAGCAATGTTGTATTTATTGTTAGTCGTTTATGTAAATATATTGGGAAATACCACTACGCTAATAGTATCCCGCATAAACTACTAATTTCTACAAATTTGTTCTACAGCAAAAATGATGTACAAACACCGAATATCTCGGTAGGCAGCAGGTTGGCTGGGAGCGCGCATCATCCGCCTTTTTTTCAACTGTCAAAAATTCACTTGAGTCTGGTATAGTTTTTGTCTAAATATTTCTGCAAATGAATACGGCGGCAAGGGACGTGCGTGGTTTTAACAAAATTTAATAAAAACTTGCAAGAATTTGGGAAGCAGACTGTCCACAATTAAATTTTTACTTCTCGGAATCACAAATGCCAGATATTTGGGAAATATTTTGTTTTTGTTTGTTATATGGATATGGCCGGGGACATTTGTAGCACGTTTGAGGTTTTATGCGGAAAGTTTCGCTAAAAGGCGGGATTCACCTTCGTAAAAATATAAATCTTTCACACATATTTTACATATTTACGACTTGTTGTTAATAGTCGAACCAGTTCGCCGATATTTTGCGGAATTAAAAACGTTATTTACCTGCGTTTAGGCCGTACGAATTTGGAGATATGATGCCAGAAGTGACAGTAGCCATAGTCGACAACATAAAGGACCGCTCATGCCTGAAACCAAAAAAAAACTTTATTGTAATTTGCAATAATGAGGCTCTAATCAAAAATGAAGCTGCTTAGAGAACTTTGTAGTCAAGTCACTGAAGCATTTTGGCTATCAATTTTTTCGGATGTAATGGATTGACGTGAAATTTGAACTGTAGCTAAGGAATAGCCCAAGAAATAAAAATTATATAGCGCCAATGTGTGCACCCTAGGGGTGGATGCCACCCCTTCTGGAGGGTGGGAATTTTTATTAAAGATAACCTCACGATTCGATAGAGGGACGAATTGTAAGCAAAAAATGTTCTATAAGAATTTTTTGTAAAGTCAATACTTTTTGAGTTATTTGCGCCTAAACATGTTCGTTTTTAGCCCAAAAAATGCATGTTTTTGAACCATTTTTCGCGAATATCTCAAAATCTACAGTTTCATCAAAAAAATGATCATAAGCAAAAATGAAGGTAATTAAATAGCAAAGAGATTGCTATATTTTATTTTTGTAGATGGTATAGAACTCGAGTTTTGACTCCTAGAAGTTGAAGTCAATTTCGAAGATATATAATCGAAACGTTCAACGTCCTGTAGCGGAAAAATTAAAGGGTTTTCGAGGAAAACTTATATAACACCTATTAAAGTTCTTGAAAAGACCTTTAAATTGAGTGGTGGTAGAAGTCGTTAGCATGAAAACTAAGGAAGTTACAATCAAAATAAAATGATTGTCTTGATTTTTGAGAAAAAAGAATCGGTTAAATTAATGACGACGGAAAAAAATTAAACGTATTCCTTCTGAAATTTACCTTTTTTATGTATTAACAGTAGATTTTGGAAATTCGAACGATTTTAGAAGCCTAAATTAAAAAAAAATTAATTTACCTACTTTTGAATAAAATTTTTCAATTTTTTTAAAAATCGTCTTTTTTTCAAAATATTTCAAAAACTAACAAAGTTATAAAAAAATGATAGAATAAGAAATTGTAGGTTTTTTCTTTCTGAACAATTTGCTTTTTTTAATTTTTGTAGGACAAAATTTGACTGAGTTATGGTCGTTAGAAGTTCAAAACTAAGCTCGAAGACTACCTTTCCCGAGCCCTTTCAGTTTACAAATCTAAAAAACGAAGTGCTCAAACAACTGCAAATCATAGAACTTAAAGTGCTTTAAATTCCTACAAAATGTTTTTTTTGAGTAAATTTATAACTTTAAAATTACAAAAGTTAAGGTAAAAAAATTTATCGCATTTTTCCGGTAAAATTTTCGGTGCGGGTAAATTACCATCATCTTTGCGTATTTTGGAGCACTTGTGAACTGATTTAAGTAAGTATTTTAATAATATACATACACACATGTATCCATTTATAATGTATATAAAATTTTTCTTATTTGATATAAACTTAATAAAAAAATATTAAGAATAAATTCAATAAAATTAAAAAAAATATATATTATCACACTCACATATAAATTTTAGGAAATTTTTATATAAGGGGTAGGGTTTTTTATGAGGGGTAGGTCTTCCATAAGGGTTTTTTGGTTGCAATATATCATAGATCATTTGAAAACCAATAAAAAGTTTATAATTCAACATTTGCATACCATTATATTTCAAGCTTTCAATAATATTTAATTTTATTATAAGGGTGGTTTTTAAGGGTTGCAACTTTGTAATGAGTCGTACGCTTTATAATAAATAACAAAAGAAATGCAATACTTTGTGAATGCAACAAAACATTTTAAACTGTTAAAAACTTTTTTTTCAATTTTTTTGGCCATGAAAGGTTGGTTTTTAAGGATTTTCAAGGGTTGAAAAATAATTAAATTTCATAAATTATATTAAACAACATGAAAGGAACTTTATCCAACATATTTGAACATGAATTGAATATTTAAAATACGATTTCCGCATTTTTTCGTACAAGGGTAATTTTCACCCCCAAATAGAAAAAAGCACACATCTAGACAATATAACTTTTGAAGTGGGGTGTCAAATGAGCGTGTATGCAAATTTTCAGGAAAATCCATGCCATCCGAAAATATATTGCTAGAATATCGCCATATGATAAGCAGACATTTTTTTAGCACTTATGTCCAAAGTACGTAGGATCAAAAATCGATGTAGTAAAACGATGTGGATTGTGGGGTTGTCTATTATTTGGGCGTTCATATGTGACGTTACTACCAAAAAGATCTATACTAATTTCTTGACAAGTCATTTTCAGTTCCTAATTGAAAATTTGAGAAATAAAATTTGTTTTAAGGATAATCTTGATTATTTACAGTGAAAACGTGGCATTTTTTCTTGCAGAATCGTATACATAGGTCTGAGTAGGAGAAATGGAGAAAAATTTAATTTCGTCGATTATAGCGTCATCTATCATGAATCTAAAAAAATGCTTTAGACAAATTCAACGTACTTTTAGCCGTTGACATCGAATCTGCAATAAGAAAGGGTTCCTACTTAAGATTTCAAAGTTACGCCCGTCTCACTTATAAGAAGAAGGGAGATGGACCAATTTTAGCACTATATTCCCTTCGTGGTGTGATTAAATTTTGAAACAGTGCTTATTTCGCAAAGTTTGGGGTTAAAAAGAACACCCGGTATAAGAGTACTTAGGCACTACTGTTTACGGTATGGTATAATTTCTTCAAACACGCTCCGGTACCGATGAAGCGGTAATTTTTTTTTGACCGTGTTGGAGATAACGCGGAATTTCTAAGAGCAGATATGAAAGTGATCCCACCTGGTAGCGTCACGTATGCGAGTAACCCACATTTTTATTAGTTGGCCATGTTAATATTCAATTGTTTATTATCACCTATGGTAACTAGTTAATGAAGTCGTGTCATTTGTGTCAATTTTCCATATTTAATAATAATATAGTTAGCCGGCGGAGGCAATTAACGATTTTTAATGTCGCGCTCGCGCTTATAAATATTTATTAGTATTCGTAAGTATTGTTCTTTGGACATATTAGGGTGTGGCCAAACGGAATGAAAACTTATTTCATTAAAAACGTTTTATTACATCCTATATCCACACACAATTTCTAGCGCTTGTGACCTGCTTACTCAAAGCCTACGTATACACTTACATGTTTATTTATCGAAAACGTTTAAAACGGCATAATGTGGCTACCATTCTTTCACGCGCTTTTTCTAAGCCGGCCGGGTGCGAGAAGATATTAATATTAGCATTTAAATCGATTCTGCTACCGACTTTTCAATATTTAACACCTCAGACGGACAAATTCCATAAATCACCTCTAAAAACGGCCGGCTCCTTGAATTACAGCTTTTCCACATTACCATAAATAAATCCCTCAAACTATATTTTTTATATATTAGGTACCAACTCGGCCGGGGCTTGCATGGTGGTCTGTCTAACAAGATCAAATATTTGAGAGGGTATATTTACATGCGCTCGATCCGTATGGGTTCTGGTGATGCAACGATTCCTTTTCTTAGGCACATTCACTCAAGTATCAATTCGTAGAACACATTCTTGCTTTAAGGATACACTCCTAGCTCTTAATCGTAACATTTCTATCGACGTCACCAACAAGGGTTCCACAGGGTTCAACGCTAGGGCCTCTAAGGTTTATTTACTACTATTATCCGCTAGATTAGAAGTAAAGTGTTATTTTCAGTCCCTATATAAAAAAAGAGGTGGTGCACAATTATGCATGTCCCAAACTCGATAGTATGGGCCTATTGTGAGGATACAAAAAATTTAAATGCAATTTGGGAGCTCCATTTTCAATAGAACGTATTATCTTTGGGATTTGACAGAAACGAAGACGTCATCAATTATATTTTTTCCAGAAACATACCCAACTTTTTTTCCTGTTAAAAAGCTCTCTCTTTGCTAATAAACTTTTATTAATGAAATTTTTCTGTATTATTTCCCGTTTAAATATTATAAGCAATATCGTCCTAAAGAGTCTAAAAAGAAATACCACCTAAAAATCACAATAGCGGTGTAAGGATCAAGTCGTTGGAAAATAATTGAATGTTCGTTGCTTAAAGTGCATAAATGTCACAAAATACTTGTCATAACTCAATACGAACGTCAATCGTATAAATTTTGTGCTTACAAAATGTTTTCTCGTTCAGGAAAAGTTGATATGTTGCTAATTTACGGCGAGTCACAAAAAAATTCAAGAAGAGCTGTAGAGTTATATCGAGAAAGGTATCCAGAGCGCCGCATTCCTGATCATAGCACCTTTACAAGTTTGGAGGAGACCTTGCGACGAAATGGAGATGCATTTTCTGTTCGGAAAAATGAAATAGTTGACCAAAGGGTAAGAAACAATGTTAATACAGTTAGACTGTTACAGTATTTCGAACAAAATCCACGAAATTCTATACGGCAGGCTAGCCGGGAATTGAATTTGGATAAATCAGCCGTTCAACGAATTTTAAAGACCAGTGGGTATCATGACTACAAAATTCACAATTTGGTGTATTTGCCTGAGCGTCACATTCAAAACAGACTTAATTTTATAGCTCAAATGGTAGTAAATGTAGAAACTGTTGATCAGAACCTTCTTCGGTACGTTCTTTGGAGGCACGAAAGTCGATTTGACAGTAATGGTTTTCCAAACAGGCGCAAGAACACTACTGGTCCATTGAAAATCCTCCACATTGTAAATCCAGTCCAAAACCAAGGCCATTTTGGAGTAAATGTATGGTGCGGCATCTTGGTAGGCAATTAATTGGGCCTTATTTTTATGAACATACATTGAACAGCGTGAGTTACCTAAATTTCCTACAAGAAGAACTTCCCGCACTTCTGGAGAATGTGCCTTTGCAGCTAAGGAGAAACCTATAGTTTCAGCATGACAGGTTGACGGGGCTCCACACCACAAGGCCAGGATTGTGCAGCAATATTTAGATAAAACTTTCCCAGAAAAATGGATTGGGCTTAATGGACCATTCGTTGGCCCCGAAAGTCACCATATCTAACACCACTCGATTTTTTTTAGTGGGGGTTTTAAAAAATAAGGTTTACAAA